CCCCTCCTATCCCCCCTCCCCTCGTCTCCCCAACAGAGCATGGGTGTGCGTGAGACGTTCTACGGCTACGAGGAAGACGACAGCTCGGTGGTGTCCGAGAACTCCGCATCCTCCCTGTCCCACAGCACAGTCAGCGAGGAAGATCTCTGGGACGACGTGGTAAGTGCTCTTTGTGGTGTAGCACGCTCTCTTTGACACGGGGTACGTGGTAGGCGGGTGCTCTGGTGTGGTTCACTTCTTCTTTCCTGTCAAATATTTGTCGTCCTTATCTCTCCTCCTTCTTCTTTTGTGTCTGTTATGTTACTCTCTTGTAACACCTCTAATCTTCGACACTTATATGACCTTATTGTGTTGCAAGTGCCGTATAACACTTAATAAAACATTAGACACAGGTAAAGTCCAACTTATCCAAGACGGCCACCCATCTTCTTCTTTCTTCTTCTCGATTGCACCACACTGACTTGAAGTCCGGTGTCTATATTGACGTACTAGGCCCTCCTGCCCAGTTTTTTTTTCTGTGGGCGCATACAGCTTCTCCTGTTGTATTCAAGGGGTTGGCAATGTTTTCCACTGTTGAGGCCATCCATCATTAACGGAGAGAAAAGTGGTTGTTTTAAGCAGGAAGATGTCTTTGACAATTTCGTTAAAATGTAATCTAAGGAAAAAGGGGTTGGTGGGTTGGGTTGAGCTGACCATTTGTACAGATGATTGTTTTGGACAGGTGGCCTTTAAATAGGTTTGACTATTTGTAATTTTTAAGGCGGGTCCCACTTAGCACAAAAGATTCTGTGTAAGGAACAGAAATCGGCATGAAAGAGAACTTTACAGAAGACAACAATACAGTATCCTTACTCTTGATAGTTTGTGCCTCAAAGTGGTACCCCTTTAACGAAGAGATTGTAGGTTAAGAAAGAAAAGTCAAATAAGAGTAGACTTTAGAATAATATCTTCAGAAAGCGTGCGTGGTTATCTGAAAGGTGTGGCAGATTATGTTGTAGTAGGAAAAAGGGTAAAATACGTCAAAGATTACTCTCGAAGTGGGTTGAAAGCCTATTTCAAACATTTCGGCTTTGCGATATTGCATGGGAAGGAAGGAAGGAAGGAAGGAAGGAAGGAAGGAAGGAAGGAAGGAAGGAAGGA